GAGGTCGCTGACGGTTTTCAACTCGAGAATTCATAGCACTCTTCGAACTGAGCCTATATAGCTTAATTTCGGCTGTTTTACCCCAAGTTAACGAATAATTTCAGAGGGGATTTAGAAGCTGAATTTCAAGGATCTAAGATTTAGGAGGGCTTGAAATAGTGGCCACTTACATTAGTTGCTTGAGAAAAGACTGTTCTCATCCTTGTAATCTGTTGAGCAGTCGCCGACGAGTCTTGCTGAGGGACCGTCCCGCCCGAACTAAGCTGAAGTTCACAAGGAAGCTCCTTAATGAATAAGTAAATTAATGAACCCCTGTGAAGTGCATGTGGATCAGGGGACTTCGAAAGTGATGCATCTGGAAAGCAAATTTGGCAGGATTTTGACAGTTACGTGATAAACTTATACATTTCACATACACAAATACTTACAAATTTAAGTTAACAAATGCAATGCGTGAAGCTCAGGGGTAAAGGCGTTCGAATTAGCTTAATGCCAAAGTGAAAGTGAAATTTTTAAAGTGCCAGCTCTGGTGCTAGGATGCCAGTTACTTCAATTTTACAAAATTAAATTATGGGCACAGTATACCATAATCTTTATCGGATAAGACAAGGTGTCGACACCTGAGGCACACCTCAGCGTAATCTTCTTGGATAAACAGTTCATGATATGGGAGTAAGTAAAATGCCAACTGGATTTCCTCTATTTTTTGTCTATTTTAGAGACCTTTTGGCATAATAATCAAGGTTTTCAGGAAGACCCAAATCCCACACAAGTACTGGACTACAACAGTAACCACCCACTAAAATGCGAACACAAGCCACTTACGAAAGAACGCAATATTATTGTAATGAGAGGCAGCAAAGACAGACAGAGGACATAGTTTATGAGGTGCAATGTCTTTGATGGGTAACCAGAATAAATGGTTATAAGTACACTTTCGTTCATCTATGCATAAAGAGATGGGATGAAGCACAGCCGTACCAGAACCAAATTTTATCTAACGCTCTCGTGTGTCAGAAACGTTTGAGAGACAACCAGCTGACTTTTCACGCCACTCTGAGGCGAAGCTGCTCACAAGCCGGAGGCAACCAGCAGATAGAAAACCTATTAAAACAATTATAAAGTCCTGGATGTGGTTAAAAAATCTGGTGTGGTAACGGACAAAGTAAGTAAATGACGAAGAAACAGGGAGACTACTCCGAACGCTGACGGCTGAGCACATCAGCAATAAGGAGGGACTAGGCAAATTCTCAAGCTGCGACTCATTCGACCTGACCCGTTCAAAGTCCACATGAGAGACGGCAGTCACTTCAGACGCTGGCTCTCGGAGTCATGGTCCTTCGGTTCATTCTACCTAGTCAACGCTAGGTCTTTGCTTGTGCAGAGAGAGAGAGAGAGAGAGAGTAGTCAAGTGGGAATGCCTCAGCAAACACTGCTTCCGGTGGTCGTACCGGTGAACCAAATAGTTGAGTAATTATTTCGTTCATCACTAACACGACTGACGGAATCAGAACAGCTGACGATTCAGATGCGGATCACAAAACCATTATCGCACCAAGTAGGGGCCCATGAGATGAATTTAGAAGCTGCTATTTCTGGTCGGTGTGCGATCATGAAACGAATGCATCCTATAAATGCTGTATTTCCTATGCTGGAGACGTTTCCTGCTGTTTTATCTAGTTATTGATTTGAGAAAGGAGCTGAAACGTTAGACGAATAACTTTTTTGCTCCAGCTATCGAGTTCATTTTATGATCAAGCCACATCGAAGCATGCAAGCAGTTATACAAGCACATTCATACGTGCAAGGGCCAATCCCGTGACTTGTTCGTGTGACAGATCTGTCGCGAACTGAACATCTATTTTCTTTTAAATTTTTGATCTATCTGACTTCAGACTGAATGTCTCGAAGCAGAAAACAGTCTTCTTTTGAGCGATGAGAGTCACACGAAACGGGCCACATATGCCCCCTTTTGTTTCACAATCGCGAGGGAAAATGCACATTAATATAACTTATAGTATAATGGTAGGGGGCGCTCACCGATAGTTCTTACGGAAATCCCTCGTTCGGTCGTGCCTTATGGACTCTCTTTCTCTCTCGAGCCCAACCAGCAGCCGCACAGCGGCGCATGATATAGACAGAATGATATTACCGACAAAGACAAGGGAGACTGGGATGGCCATTTCTGGCTTATTAGCAGTCGTCGATCATTGTATATACCCGATCGAAAACCAACAAGGCAACGTGCTCGTGGCTCAGTGGTTAGAGACGTGGACTTCTAACAATCAAGTCGCGAGTTCGAGCCACGGACGTGCCACATTTCGGGATTGGGCATGACTTGATGACGATGGCTAAAAAGTCAGAAATGGCCATTCCAGTCTCCCTTGTCTCTGACGGTAATATCATTCTGCCTAACTCATAGTATATATATAACTTATAGTATAATATATAATAATATACATAATATAATATCCCGATCATCATGCCCAAAAGAAGACGAAGAAGAAAAAGAGGCAATGCCATGTACCACACTGTATTTATGCTGACGTTTCGGAAACTTGCTCGTTTCCATCATCAGAGTAGCGGTAGGGTGTTTGTTTCTGCTAGCTCAGAGTTGTTCTGTCTCGCCGCCTGTCTCATGTTATGGGCATGCCTGTTACACGAACTCTGACCTGCTTGCTGGCGGGGAATTGGCTTAGGTCTCTCCGTGGCCGACCGCTGGGGCGCTGGTGTGACCTCGGCCCCCTGCCCGGTCTCTGTTGTCGCTGCTAGGTCCGTGTGCCCGTGGGCCCTCCCCCCATAATTTGACCGGCTGATCAGCTGCCGTTGCATGTGGGAATCGCGGTCGGCTGTTTGGGCGCGTCGGTGGGTCGATGTCTCGCGTCGGTCGTCTGACAACCGGCTGGCTCTCTCCCCCTGCTGTGAAGGTGGCAACTGTTGAGAGAGCCGCGATTTGTTGGCCAGTGCTGTCGGTCCCGTCCGAACTGACTGGAGCCTCGTACGAAGTGCCTGGTAGGTCGGATGAAGATCAATGGCTCTGTTGATTGCGTCAACTGAGGACCAACTTTCGAGAACCAGTCTCGCCATCTTGTCGCTGGCTCGGCCGATGACGCTTGCTTCTCCAAAGGCGAAACTGTGCTCCTCGTGTTGTATGTGGCCATACACCAGTAAGAGCTTATCCGCGCGGTCGACTACAAGCTGGTGCTCGTGCAATCTTGTGCAGAGGCTTTGGGCCGTTTCACCAACAAGGTATGCTGTAGACCACTGCTGATTGTTCCGTTGTAGGTAGCTGGTCTTTGCCCGTCGACAAGAGACGCTCGACGGTTGTCATGGGCAGAACCGAGTACACGACGATACTGGAAGGTCTATTGGAGGACGAAATTGCCTACAAGCTTTCGGAGACTGGAGAGTTCAAGAAGCACGTGGACAGTGTAAACAAGGCGATAGACAAGTTAAGGAATGCTGGAGTCCTCAAGAGGCAGGAAAAATTGATAGCAAAAGCCACCGATGCCGTCATGGCGCGCTTCTACGGTCTGTTAAAGGTGCATAAACCGGGAGTATCTCTACGCCCCATAGTCTCATTACGCGGTACCCCGACCTTAGGACTGTCGAAATGGCTTTACCAACGATTCCGTTTCCCGAACGAGGATTCCGAATGGACGGTGAAATCGGCTGAGCAGTTTTTGAGGAGTACCAGACATCTAGAAATAGAGCCAGACGAGATGATGGTATCGTTTTATGTGGTCTCCTTATTCACCTCTATTCCAACCGACCTTGCCATCAGCACCATTGACGAGCTTCTTCAGGAGAAGTACGATGAAAATGATCAACGGCCTCAACGAGTACACGTCATCGAACTCCTGGAATTGTGCCTTAGAACTTTCTTCACTTTCAACAACTGGGTTTACGAAGAAAAGAAGGGAACACCGATGGGCTCCCCGCTGTCTGGACTGATTGCCGAGGCTTTTCTGCAAATGCTCGAGCGACTGGTCTTCCGTTCGTACTCCCCAAAATTCTGGGCCAGATACGTCGACGAGACATTGGTCGTAATCAAGAGGAACGACGTTTAGGACTTCAAAGTCTTGCTGAACTCAATATTCCCCGACATCCAATTTACAATGGAAGAGGAGGACAACGACCGGTTGCCCTTCCTTGACGTAAACGTCACAAGGATGGCTAATAGGGGGATCAGAACTACGGTATACCGAAAGGCAACGAATACTAGACGCATCCTCCAATTCCGGAGTAACCACCCCATTGGTCACAAACGCATTTGTGTCAGAGCTCTTTTCCAACGAGTTCAATCGCACTCTAATGACAACGACGCGAGAAGGGAGAAAGTGAAGTACCTACATTCCCTATTCACAGCCAATGGTTACCCACGATTTTTCATAGGTGAGTGCCGAAGAGGATTTAACCGCGAAAGATCTAACGATGAGAAGCCGAAGTTCTGGCTCGCAATCCCCTACATGAGGAATATTTCTGAGGCGACAGCAAGAATCCTGATTCCTTTTGGGATTGGGTTGGCCCATATACCGGAATCCGCTATTAGGCAGCAGTTAATGAGGCCCAAAGACCAGCTACCTACAACGGAACAATCAGCAGTGGTCTACAGCATACCTTGTTGGTGAAACGGCCCAAAGCCTCTGCACAAGATTGCACGAGCACCAGCTTGTAGTCGACCGCGCGGATAAGCTCTTACTGGTGTATGGCCACATACAACACGAGGAGCACAGTTTCGCCTTTGGAGAAGCAAGCGTCATCGGCCGAGCCAGCGACAAGATGGCGAGACTGGTTCTCGAAAGTTGGTCCTCAGTTGACGCAATCAACAGAGCCATTGATCTTCATCCGACCTACCAGGCACTTCGTACGAGGCTCCAGTCAGTTCGGACGGGACCGACAGCACTGGCCAACAAATCGCGGCTCTCTCAACAGTTGCCACCTTCACAGCAGGGGGAGAGAGCCAGCCGGTTGTCAGACGACCGACGCGAGACATCGACCCACCGACGCGCCCAAACAGCCGACCGCGATTCCCACATGCAACGGCAGCTGATCAGCCGGTCAAATTATGGGGGGAGGGCCCACGGGCACACGGACCTAGCAGCGACAACAGAGACCGGGCAGGGGGCCGAGGTCACACCAGCGCCCCAGCGGTCGGCCACGGAGAGACCTAAGCCAATTCCCCGCCAGCAAGCAGGTCAGAGTTCGTGTAACAGGCATGCCCATAACATGAGACAGGCGGCGAGACAGAACAACTCTGAGCTAGCAGAAACAAACACCCTACCGCTACTCTGATGATGGAAACGAGCAAGTTTCCGAAACGTCAGCATAAATACAGTGTGGTACATGGCATTGCCTCTTTTTCTTCTTCGTCTTCTTTTGGGCATGATGATCGGGATGATCTATCTGAACCTCGAATCTTCCCTCATTTAGACTGTATAATATATATTTATATATGAATGATGATAGAAGGCTCGTCGGAAAAATCGAGTTGTACTCGTGAATTTTCGAGCTGGTGTCACCAACCCGTCGTCAGACGAAATAAACAGTGGAGACAGTGAACTGGTCAGAGTAAATTTGTTGGCGTGACTGGGCAGCCATTGACAAGCAAGCAACTAATGTATGAATGGTGGTGGACAGATAATAGGGCTGTGATCCGTGGCGGGGAAGGGAAGGGGAAACAGTTGCAACTCCCTGTGTTGGAGGGTAGGGGGGGGGATGACAATTTAGTGGAACTATAGACAGTGGACGTAATGGTCGTCGACCTGGCATACGGGCAGAGGTCAGTGAGCCCAACGTAGAGGTGTTAGGGATTGCAGTTGCAGTTCGCTGTGTCGGAGGGTGTAATGGGGTTACGAAATAGTGCGATTCTACATGGCCCAGTGTAGATTAGCGGCTGTTGTTAGATCGTGGGCGCAAGTCAGTGAGTCGGGCACGCAGACCTTCGTAATGAGCATCTAGATCGACATGGCGATTGAGACTTGTCGTGTTAGAGTGCCAGGCTTCGAGGAATTCACGAGCATGTTTGGTGTTCGCAATAGCAACAATTTCAGTTCCTTCCCAATTGAAGCGATGGTCGCATTCAAGGGCGTGCGCAAACACGAGTGACAAAGGGTCACGTCGACGGATGGCTAGTATATGCTCGTTTAAACGCGTGCCAAGTCGTCGGCCTGTATGACCAACATAGTCACAAGAGCAGTTGGCACACGGAATGCGGTAGATGACATTGGTTTGCTGCTCTTTAGGTATAGGGTCTTTCACTCGCGGTAGTGCTGCGCGCACAGAGGACGCCGGCTTATGAGCAATGAAGATGCCAAACCGGTTTAGTTGCCGGGCGATCGTTTCGGAAATACCCTGTATGTAGGGTAGAGAGTAGAATTTTCGAAGTTCTGGTCCGTCCTTAGAACCAATGCCTTGTGGTTGTCTCTAATGCCTGAGACAATTTTTTACAAAGCTGACCGGGTATCCGTTGAGCCGGAATAACCGATACAGGAAAGCGTGTTCTTTCTTAAGTAGAGCATCGCTGCTGCAGTAACGATAGGCCCGGTGGAAAAGGGTTCGGACACAGCTCGTGGTCCGGTGGGTAGAGGCGTGGACTTCTAAACCAACAGGTCGCGAGTTCGAGGCTCGGGTGTTCCACACTTCGGGCTTGGGTATGGCTGGCTGACGACGGCTAATAAACCAGAAATGGCCATTCCAGTCTCCCTTGTCTTTGTCAGTAATAGCATTCTGCCTATATTTATATAATGTATAATTTATAATATAATTTATAATAGACCTTATCTCAGGACACTGTCGGCAAAATACACGATGGCAAGGCAGATTGATTCTTCCTAAAGCAAATCCCGAAACGTTTTCCTGCTCCATCACATGTTACTTGTATCCTTGGCTTTATATTCGTCGTTGCTTATGGACTCAAAAATTTTTTTGCAGTTGAATTTTATTATTTATTAGTCAAAACGATTAGAAGCGAAGATGCACATGGAATTTTTGTATGCGACTTAAGTGCTAACAACAGAGTACGATGTACAATACTGGCTCTGTCTGATAGGATTGCAGTAATTTTGATATGTGGACTAAAGCATGGTAGGTGTAAGCACTTGGCAGTCGAGCGAAATGTGCATGAGTCAATATTTGGATTAATGGAGACATTTAAATGCTGCTGAATCCATCTTATAGCTGCGCAAAAACATACAGCTTATAATTCGGAGATCGAGCTGGGGATCGTGCATTTTCACCTAGTTTTCGTCAGATTGTGCCCTTAGCTATCGGCTATAAAAGTGATCGGGCACCGAAAAACACGATTTACTTGGTCGCTGGGTTCAAACCGTTTGAAAACTTGTCTGTGGTTTGGAGAAAACTGGGATGACACTTCGGAGCAGACGGGTACTATTGAGTTATTAATCTTCATTGAAGAACGCAAGGGTATTCATTTAATGAGTTCAGAACTAAAACAAATACGGTGGCCATACAAAGTTCCTCTGCTGAAGCAAGTTTAGATTTCTTAACCGTATTGCGGGCGTTTGCTTAAAAGGATAGAAAAACGGTTTCCATCGTATCAGGAAAATGGCAGTCATCAGTCCGATCCTCCTACATCGTCCAAAGTGGACTCCAATGAGCCTTATGAGGTAGTTTGAAGAATAACATAAGTTGTGGAAATCCTCACGACAAAGGCTACAACGCAAAGCGATGATGACGGCAGTCCTGCCCAGTATGCACAAATTACATCTGTGCAAATCCGACTGATGCTATGGTCCAAAGTTAGATACGAGAACACCCACACCGAATGCAAAGATGGATCATTGCTATATCTTATCCATCGTCAGTAACATTCTGTCGTAAATCATTACTCACACTGCACATCGTCATATAAACCGCCCATGTCCAAGTAAATTAGTCAGGCCCCTTGGGCAGTCTCAGTACGGACAAACTCTTTTTGTATCAGCCTACAGATGTGAGAGTAATTTACGTGAAATAGATCAGCTGTCCAGCCATCCATGAAGCGATGACTGGAATCTCTCAGTAGGATTGCTGACGGCAAACATTTCTTAGGTCGCGTTGTATTACAAATTAACATGTCAAACTATACACATGAACACACCCCATTTTGGCTAGGCATCTTTACAGCCAGGTATGCGGATGGTACATGAAAAAATGCGACTACGAAAATAATAAGTACTACACCACTGATTTTCAATTTTTTTGCAAGATGCAGCCAAAAATACCAAAAGGGGCAAAAATACTACTAGCTACACTGTTTTTATTCTCAAAGATATCAGGTCTCCTTAAGCCCGGGGTCCGAAAGATTTCCATGTTTTTGTTCTGAAAAGATTGTAATTAAAACATTTTAGAACACCAGATATACTACTAACGTAGGCTAATCTCTGCGGACGCAACGTTTGTTCCATGCTCATAAGGATACATTATAGGCACAGGGAGGTCACAAGTAGTGGTATTAAACTATGCGTGAATTTGTTTTTAGAAAGAGTGTCTAATGTTAAACTTAGGGATCGCAGGAAAGAGTAAGAAGGTCAACTGTTTAAGAAATAAGCGCAATTCCATATAATCTGTGAAACCGAAATACACCTATTCAGGTAACGAAATGAAAGATCCCTTTTCCCAAGAAGTGATATTTGCGTGCATTCGTCCCGAAAAGGATAATGTGCACTAAGGAGAGCAGTACTTTTATCTAGCGTGATTAACAAGGATGCTTTAGAAGACTTTTGACCGAAAGCCAGAATATTACTGCGTTTATATCGAATTAGGATGGAAGTAAACGTGTTAAAATATGTTTGTGCATTTCGACGCATGCTATGTTGGACGAACAACCTTTTTGTGTGTTTCTCAAAATCCTAGCAAAGTGCAGTGTTATAAAAACTTTGATGAAAATCCAGCCCAACGTTTTCTAAAAATAAACGCTTGAAAAGTAAATTTACCCTCACGCTCTGCTCATTAATCCTTTTCATATATTCCGAAACGGACACACGTCTTAAGGCGTCCTCAACAATTACATTCAGGAAACCCTGTCGAGATTCCGGTTGAATAGTATCGCGATACCCCGGTGATATGG